TATGCCTAGTACAATCCCCAACATAGGAAACAAAATAACGATTACCTCCCGATGATACCTCCTCGGAAAGCCCCCCAATGCCTGACTGAACACCTCCAATAAGACCCCTCGATCGATGGATAGAAGTGCTAAACTCCACCTCGGTCTTCTTGCTCATACCAATGTGCTCACAGGCTGTGCACGGTATAACCAATAATATATCCCAGCACCAAACAATGCCACAGTCTAGCCATAGAAGTAGTCAGCGCCCTATCAGCTACCGTGCTCCCAAGCAGATAATACAAGTTACTCCGTCTGACTCCCTACATCACAATCATGGACCCCGATGTGACCTTCAAGCGAGAATCCGCCAAAGTCACCCTATAGCCTGATGCCTCCAATACCCCAAGTGAAATGATGTTCTTCCTCAGTTGAGGAACGAACCTCACATCAGCCAACTCCCGGATCATCCCGTCACTCATCCGAATCCGAACGGTACCAATACCACCAATAGGGCATCTGTGATCATTACCCATGAGAACAGCATCCCCTCTTTCCAACTCCTGAAAGCTGGAGAACCAATCCCTTCCAGGGCATATGTGGTAAGTAGCACTCGAAGCACTAGAATCCAACATCCACTCGGTGGAGTCGGCAACATCAACTGACGGAAGAGCTGGGCACGAATAGCCCGAAGAATCTGAATCTGAAACATCGCCACTAGCCTTGGCAACATTCACCTCTGAAGCTTGAATAGCTTTCCCTTTATTCTTCACGGCTTGCAATTTTGGGCATTCGGCTTTCCAATGTCCATCCTCTCTACAAAAGGTACACTGATTCCTACCAACTGTAGGATGCCCCCCTCTAGACTGCGATCTTCTCCCACGGTTTGGACTTTTAGCTCTTGCAACCAATGCCCCCGCAACCGGCTCGATGGAAGTCTCATTGTCCTTTTTTCGAAGTTGATAGTTCACAAGGACTGCGGTGACCTCACTATACGAAAGAGATGCCTTCCCATTAATAAGAGTGAGGACGAAGGTCTTATATTCCTCATCGGGCAAGAAACTCAATAACAACAATGCCTTGTCCTCGTCTTCAACAATGACATCTACATTCGCCAAATCTACAAGTAGCTTCGTGTAGTGGTTCATGTGATCACTAATGGATGTCCCCTTCTTCAATTGGAAGCGATAAAGCCTCCTCTTCAAATGCAAACGATTTTC